ACGTCAGTGAGAATCGACCTCGTCTTGGCGAACCTGACTCCTGGACCCGGACCCGGACCTGGACCGGACCAGCTCCAGTCCTCTGTAATACTTCTTTAACTGCATTACGTAATGAAAACACCTAATGACGGTCCGTCGGGTCCAGGCCGGAGGTTCGGATCCAGCCGCGTCGCTTTGAATGAGACCGACGCGGACACAAGCTGCGGGTCTGTCCGTGTGCCTGAGCGGGTCTGCGGCTCGGACCGGTCGGTTAGCGGAACCTGTGCGAACCGGAGCTCAGAACCGGTGAAAAGCGACTTTACCTGATCGAAGGCGCAGAAAGAAGCAGCAGCGGAGTAAACAGCGAGCAGCCCGGAAGTCTGAGTCAGCTGATCGCCACACGTGACCTGCAGCGCGTCACCGCACCACGTGGTCCCTCGTCTCCTTTATTTATTTATTTAACCAGAGTAAACAGCTGATCCTGAATCAGCTGAGCCCTCCTCATCTCACAAGGAAATCCAGTTTCATGTCCTTCACAGAAGAATCACATCCGAACTGGACTCTGATGGCAGAATCTGAACCAGTGCGCAGCAGTGACGTCCCCTCGAGTAATCAGATTACTTGTAGGTCAACAGTCGGGCATCTTCTCTGACGTCAGAATAGATGTAGGATTCATTTCAAGTCTTTTTTGATACATGTCACCTGTAGCTCACCTGTAGCTCCGACAGGTGGACGCATCAAGCACCAGGAAGACTGTCCTAAACCTCTGCACCTCCACAGTGCTCCACATGGGGTGCTTGTTTTAGTACACCTTATTGAGGAGAGCAGTGCAACCACCAGGGGGCGACACAGAGCAGCAGTCCTGCATGTCAGTGGCATGTCTGATAGTTTAACATGATGTTTGACCTCATAAGACACTAAGAGTGGTTTTTAAACGTCTGTGGATATTTAATAATCAGTAGGACCAATGACATGAACTCCTGTGTTTGCTCAGACGGCCAGCAGGTGGAGCCAAACAGTCCGAGTTCAGAGGGAGGAGGACGCTTTCATTTCAAATCAGAAATGAGAATATGAGTGACATCATTTACAGGAATGTAAATGTTCTACCTCTGGAGGAGGTTCTGATCATCATCGGACTGAACATCATTCAGTCTGACCAGAACCAACCTTCAGAACCTTTCATCAGTATTTACAGGATCTGAACAAACTCACAGCAGAAATAATGAATAAAACACTGTTCAGGGCTCCAGACCAACGCTTTCACTGGCAGCACCGGTACCACCCACTTTCTCGTTGTGTCCCACCTCCCACCTGGTCACAGGCAGAACGTATGACCTGCTGAACGTGTTCTTGTCGATAGAGGATTTCCTGACGCTCCCTGAACGCCCCACGCTGGGAGCTGCTGCTGGAGGCCGTGCTGCTCTGACAGGGGTGTGGCCAGGAATGACTTTAACATAACAAACTGGGCGTTCTGGTGTCGGCTCTGTCCGAGCTTAAACCCACTTACATTAATTCTACTCGCCGGCTTTTCTACGAGCAGAAAAACAGCGATGCAGCTTCATCCTGTTTGTCATGAGAAGACCTCGTCTCAAAGCGGAAACACTGCAGCACACCGAAGTTACTAAAGTCCTACTTTCCACCTCTGTGGTCCAGATAGCAGCTTCCTGTGCTGGTTACAGCGACACTATCACAGCTTCAGGATCATCAGGTCACACTGTCCTAGAGAAGGTGGCAGATGCAGTCTGGAGCTACTCGAACAGACACGTGGTTCTTCTGTCCTTCTGCTCTGCAGACTTCTCAGACTTTTTGGTTGACGTCACTCATTGAGCTTCTCCACTGACAGCAGGCCGATGCATGAAGCCATCAGCCAGTAGCTGTGATCCAGTAGCTGGCAGATAACCCCCGGTGTGTGTTCCTGCTAGAACCGGGTCTGTGCAGAACCAGAACCTGCTTCGTTTTTCAGGGCGGGCTGCTCCGTCAGTCTGACTAGATCACATCGAGCCTCCGGTCGTCCCAGGAGTGGAGCTGGACAGATGGCAGGTGAGTGCGTGTTCCTGAGTGAGTCTGAAACTCGGTTCTAGCTGCTGTTCTGACAGAACGTGAGGTTCTGCAGCTCCAGTCAGTTTAGAGGAACTGGCTGTTGCGTTTCTCTATTTCAGAGGATTAAAAACAGGAAGCTGTGACTCTGAACCCCTTTGAGTGTAAAAAATACCAAAAGTCTGTCATTTAAAAGCCCGAAGCATCTGGACCTTCAGAACCACATCTGGTCTGTTAGCTTGAACTCTGTGGACCCGAAACCTGCTGCAGGAATTCTTACGGCACAATTAATAGCCAGCGTTTGGTCACTGACATCAAGCCAAATGACTTTCCGGCCTGCAGCCTGAGGGCTCAACATGACGACACATCAGAGCTGCTCCACGTGTCTCAACAGGAACATGTTTCACCAGCACAGCTCTGTGAAAGCACACGGCAGAACCAGAGCTGATGTGAGTTCAGACTCAGCTGAAGAACACGTCTGAGTTCTGGTAGAAGCTGACCCCAGATCAGTTCTACGTCCATCCAGATCATCTCTGACTGTTTCAGGTTTATCAGCGATGAGTGCAGAGCAGCTCCTGAACACTCTGGAGGATCTGGTAGACGAAGAGTTCGAGAAGTTCAAGTGGTTCCTGCAGCAGAGCGACGGCGGCGTCCGGAGCATCAGGAAGGTCCGACTGCAGAGCAGCAGCAGCAGGTGCGACGTCGTGGACGTGATGCTGCAGACGTACGGACCTGATGGAGCCCTGAAGGCCACCAGGAAGGTTTTAGAGAAGATCTGCAGGATCGACCTGCTGCTCAGTTTGTCTGACAGCAGCCCCGGACCAGAAGGTGAGTCTCAGCAGAAGAGCAACACGAAGAACCTGAACCAACAGGACAAAAAGTAACTCTTAGATTTCGAGTCATTTTGAAGACTTTACTGAATCATTCTGGACAGGTTCTGAGTTCTTATCGACTGTTTCAAGTCGTGTTTCTGCTCTTCTCTGACATCTTCTGACAAAACTATTCTGAGAATGAAGTTTACTTGTGGATCGTAATTTTGTGAAGCCTGAGTTGGTTGGAGACACTGCACTAGTGTGTCTCTGTCTGTCTGTCTCAGTCAGTGATGGTGGACGGACTCCAAACCGCAGAGGACCTTCATCCACTGAGGCTGGTCCTCGTCTTCCTCAGCCTGCAGCTCATCGTGTTGGGTTCTCTGGTAGGTCAGAAGTCCTGAGGTTCAGAGTCAGCCTGCAGGCTGATTGAAGGGCAAAGTAAACCAACTCAAAGAGTGAGTGAAAAGCCAAAGTACAACCGACAGAAAACTAACATCAAGTGATGGTGCCGTCCCCTGGTCTCCAGGTGAAGGTCCAGCTGCTAGCTTAAAAACTCTCGCTACAGTCGCAGCAATTCTACAGCGAGTCACAATGCTGTTTCTGGATGCCTTTGATTTTAATTGCTAACAGTTAAACAGCTGTCATAGTCTTCAGCTGTCTGTGGAGGGATGTCAGGACTGTATTATACATGTCTGAATAGTGGTGCCTTCCAAAGAGTCTCTACCTTATTATGGTAGCAGGGGGCAAAAGCCCCTGGTAGGGTCTTCCAAGGCAAATGGTTGGATGGATGGATGGATGGATGGATGCATGCATGGATGGATGGATGGATGGATGTATGCATGGATGGATGGATGGATGGATGGATGGATGCATGGATGGATGGATGATGGATGGATGGATGGATGGCAAGTGGTCTCTGCAGCTTTTATTTGTATTTAGTGAATGATGCTGAACCACACAGATCTCTAAGAGTTAACTGCTTTGAGTGGTCAGAATGACGATGTTGATGTCTATGATGTTAATTCTGGAGCTTCAAACTCAGATGTTAAACGTTGCCCTAAGCAGGAGAACCTTGTGTTTGTTTGACACTGCTTCATGTTTAACACAGATGAGGTGGTTCCGGTGCCGGAGCCTCGTCCAGTCGCATTCTACCAAGAGATGCTTCAATCAACCTTCCAGGACAGGTTTCTGTGTTTACAAGAAGGTTGGGCAACAAACCAGCAGCGTCTGGTCGATATCTACACGGAGCTGTATGTCACCGCCGGCCTCGACGTGCACGTCAACACGCAGCACGAGGTCCGGCAGATCGAGAAGGCCTGGAAACCAGCGGACACAGAGAAACCGATTAAATCCAGAGACATTTTTAAACATCCCCCCGGACAATACAGACCCATCAGAATGGTGCTGACCAATGGAATCGCGGGGATTGGAAAAACCTTCCTTGTGCACAAGTTTGTGTTGGACTGGGCCGAACAAAGCTCCAATCAGGACGTGCATCTACTTTTCCCCTTTACTTTCCGTCAGCTGAACTCCCTTCAGGGAGAAGAGTTCACTTTGGCAGAGCTCATCCACCGCTGTATCCCAGAAAGCGTTAGCATCACGGCAGAGGCTCTGGACTACATCTTCACAGCGCTGCAGTCATCCGGAAACAGCAACTACGACAAGAGCAGGTTCAAACTGCTGTTTGTGTTCGACGGCCTGGACGAGAGCCGCTTTCATCTGGACCTTCGAGTCGATGACGTTTGCTCCATTGATGCAACAAAGTCGACTAAAACAGAGGACCTTCTGAGGGAGCTCATCGGTGGAAAACTGCTGCGCTCTGCTCGCATCTGGATCACCACAAGACCTGCAGCAGCCAGTCAGATCCCTCCACAGCTGGTCAGCATTACCACGGAGGTCAGAGGGTTCACTGACCCCCAGAAGGAGGAGTACTTCAGGAAGAGGTCCAGAGATGAGCAGCAGGCCAGCAGCATCATCTCCCACATGAAGACATCACGAAGCCTCCACATCATGTGCCACATCCCAGTGTTCTGCTGGATCACTGCTACGGTTCTGGAGGAGCTGCTGGGAAGCAGAGAGGGAGGAGAGCTGCCCAGCACCCTGACTGAGATGTACACAGAGTTCCTGGTGTTTCACATGGATCGTACCAAAGAGAAGTATGGCTCAGAGAGTTGCATCCTTTATATCAAGTCTTTGGCAAAACTGGCTTTTGATCAGCTGGAAAAGGGCAACCTGATCTTCTACAAGAAAGATCTGAGACAGAGCGGCATCGATGTGAGCAAAGCCTCGGTGTGCTCAGGAGTGTTCACGGAGATCTTCAAAACAGAGCGTGGACGGACAGACAGAGACAAGATGTTCAGCTTCGTCCATCTGAGCGTTCAGGAGTTTCTGGCTGCTCTTCATGTGAGGATGTCGCTCATCAACCACAACAAAAATGTGTTGCCGCCACCGCGACTGTCGCTACGCAACCTGCCACTGCTTTTAGGCAACAAGTCTGTGACAAAGATCCACAGGATTTCCATTGACGAGGCCTTACGGAGTCCAAACGGACACCTGGACCTGTTCCTGCGCTTCCTCCTGGGGCTGTCCCTCCCAACCAATCAGGAGAAACTACAGGACCTGCTGCCACAGACAGGAAGCAGCTCACAGACCAATCAGAAAACAGTGGAGTACATCAAGAAGAAGCTCAGCGAGGATCTGAGCGCAGAGAGAAGCATCAACCTGTTCCACTGTCTGAACGAGCTGCAGGACGGCTCTCTGGTGGAGGAGATCCAACGGTCCCTGAGGTCCGGACGCCTGTCCACCGAGCAGCTGTCTCCGGCTCAGTGGTCGGCGCTGGGCTTCATCCTGCTGTCGGCTCAGATGCACCCGGACGACTTTGACCTAAAGGACTATTCTGCCACCGAGGAGGCTCTGCTGAGGCTGCTGCCGGTGGTCCGAGGCTGCAACCGAGCAGTGTAGGTCCAAACGCACAGCAAGTACAAACACATACACTCGGGCTGATGGATTTAGTCAGTGTTGATTATTGGAACTCGAGAAAGGCCGATAGCCGATACTGGACCCGATAGACGTTACCGTGTCATTCATACTTAGACTCCTGATTAATAGGGTGACGATAAGGGAATAGCAGCGATGACATTTAGACGTTCTCCGGCTCAGGTCAGCCGGCTGAGATCAACGATAGTTTGTTTCCTGCAGGTACGTCTGCTGTTCTTCTCTGTTCATCTTTTTCTATTTGGTTGCTCGTGCTGCCAACTAAAGCCCAGATCCTAAAACGCGATAAATGATAGTTTCCCAGACTGTGTTCCAGTATAACCTGTGGCTGCCTCCGAGCTTAGCTGCTAGCCGTTAGCGCAGCGTTAGCCTCTGTGAAAGCAGCTGACGTCCTGATTGGTGGAGACGTTTGTGCTTCTTGTTCTGGGTTCGCTGGTTGACTCTCTGCAGTGAGACTGTCAGAGTAAAAGTTAATCTGACTGTAGGAACCTGTTAAGGGGCTCCTGCTAGCTTTAGCTGCAGGCTGGGAGGCACAGCAAACCTCTTACCTTAGCACCATGAGTCAGTTCATGCTGCACCACTCGTTAGCGCCTGTCAGTAAATGATTGTCTTTCTGAGACATTAGGAGGCTTTGAGGACGGCTGCAGCGTTCGTTAACCTTCAGCAGCGTCTGCTTCCTCGCCGTCAGACACACCTTCACTGATTCTCTGTTCTGCAGATGTGCTTCCTCTGCCTCTCTGTGATTGGCCGCTAATCATGACTCCTGACAGCCAATCAGACAGAGCTGCTGAGACCAGAGCGGCTGCAGACAGAGAGGAGGCTGATCAGAGCTAAAGAGAACGATGCCACTAATCCAAAGTGTGTAGCATCAGCGTCAGCGGTGGGCCGGGCCGTCGATCAGGCTCAGCCGGCCGCCCATAGTCCGCACTCACTCAAATACACAACGATTTGCTCTAAACAGACACAAAACACACTAAACATACACACAACACACACACGTTTTACAGACAGTATACAATAAATATGCACAAAACACACAAAGAACATCCAGAGAACACATTCAATCTACACAAAACACACACACAACACAAGTTGTGTAGTTTTTCTGTTTGTCATCTGATGTGTCTGAGTTGTTTTGTCGACCTCCAGTGTTGCCGTTGTCGTGTCGCTCTGCTTCAGTGTGTATCAGTGTCTCCTGATGAACACCTCCGTCCTGACACAGCCTGTGTGTTGTGGGTCCTTCAGGCTGACTCTGTGTAACCTCTCAGAGAGGAGCTGTGCAGCTCTGTCCTCCGTCCTCAGCTCTCCGTCCTGCAGCCTGAAGCTTCTGGACCTGAGCAACAACCAGCTGCAGGACTCAGGAGTGAAGCATCTTTCTGCTGGACTGCAGAGTCCAAACTGCAAACTGGAGACGCTCAGGTCAGCTCAACCCGAGTCCACAGAACACGAGTCAGATCTGCAGAAACCTCGTGTGTCAAGTCACTGTTGTGTGTCTGCAGGATGTCAGGTTGTCTGATCACACACGAGGGTTGTGTGTTTCTGGCCTCAGCTCTGAGGTCCAACCGTCACCTCACAGAACTGGACCTCACATACAACCACCCGGGGGAGTCGGGCAGCAGGCTGCTGGCTGCTGCACTGAAGAACCACACCTGCACACTCAGGTACACACACACACACACACACCTGCACACTCAGG